CGCACCTGGCCAGCTCAGGGACCCGGGAAGGACCGAGGGGAGAGGGGGCATGGACGTGCCTCCAGGTGGGAAAGCCGGAGAGCGGCTTGTGCCAGCTTTAGGCCCAGCCCTCCCTCAGCGGTGCCTCTTAGGAAGGAACCCAGCTGGTCTGACGGGGGAGGGCACCCCCTTCCTCCCTCCCCCCCAGGCCTGGCGCTCACCATCAGACACTCGGAGAGCTCGGGGATCTGGGAGAACTGGTAGCTCTGGGCCTCCCCGTTGCGGCTGACGGCGCGCACCAGCATGAGGATGGCGGTGAGGAAGCTCTGCTTCAGGGTCTCGTCCTGGCGGGCGGGTCAGGCCGGGAGCCGGGGGAGGGGCGGGGAGGGCAGGAGAGAGCGAGAGCCTCCATCACGCGTCACGCGAGGCAGCAGGTGCTGCGGAGAGGGAGGGGGCGGCCCGGGCGCCGGACCTACCCAGGAGCTGTAGCGGAAGAAGAAGATCATCCGAGACAAGATGTTGTCCACCCACGGCAGGATGTGGGCCTTGGCCTTGACGGCCATCTGCCCGTAGGCCAGGAGGATGGTGCTGCTGGCCCACTTCCACCGCAGGTCCTCCGAAGTCTGGCCCTGTTGGGGGTGGGGGGGCAGTGTTGGGAGGTTCCCGGGTCCTAGCAGTGCACTGGAGCCAGGTGCTCTGAGGGGCGGCCTCAGTTTACCTCGGTAGGAAAATAGGGAGAAAAGGTTCTGCCCCAGGGAGTTATCCGCGGTGCAGTGCGGACGGGGGTGGCTCTGTCCGTGTTCCCGGGCTCATGATCTCTGGCCCTTGTCTCCCGTTTTGGACCAGGCCCAGGCCCAAGAGCTACTACTAAACGCACAGCGCCCACCGCAGCCACGAGAGCTGTCACCCAGCGCCTCCCAGCAGCTGGCCAGCGAGGAGGGAATGATTCCAGAAGGGAAACTGAGGCAGGGGCTCCCACCGCCAGGGGGGCTTAGAGCAGTGATGGCGAACCTTTTGAGCTCGGCGTGCCAGCATTTTGAAAAACCCTAACTTAACTCTGGTGCCGGGTCACACGTAGAAATTTTTTGATATTTGCAACCATAGTAAAACAAAGACTTATATTTTTGATACTTATTGTATATATTTAAATGCCATTTAACAAAGAAAAATCAACCAAAAAAATGAGTTCGCGTGTCACCTCTGACACACGTGTCATAGGTTCGACATTACTGGTCTAGA